GACAAAACCTTGTCTAGAACTGAACTGAAATGGAAAAGTTACGCAATATCAAATAAGGTCATGAGAAACTTACAGTACTTATGAAAGCAAAGACAATTCTGACTTTTAATACGTCACAGAAAACCAAATGTTTAAGTTGGCATGACTTAAAAACACATGTACTTGGCCAACAAATGTATGATGCTTTTCCATTTTTACAGTGATGTGTACTTTTGAGTTAAATTGTAGATGTGTGCATGAGATGAACAAGTGCTAATGCAAGTAATTAACAACCAAAGATGATTATTAATGTACTGTCAGAAATGCAAACTTTCACATAAATCTACATTTAAAAAAAAACATGAATACATTCACCATACACACACACGCACAACTCAACCAAACATTTCTTCGAACAATAACAAGCATTCAAACACGATAAGATAAGATCACATTTATTTCCTCAGTGCAGATATACCAGAATATAAATATATTATTGACAATTATTTTCTAAAACATGACATCATTACAAAATTTGCGGTACACCACATTAGTACCTCAGCTACAGTCCTACACACCAGACAACTTGTTGATATGCTGAAGAAAATACGGAGAAGCAGATCCATTTTCTTTCAGCCAAGCAACTTCAGTCCAAAATGTTGTTAATCACAAAGACTTTGCGGTGCGTTCATATTCTTGCGATAAGAATTGCAATACAATTTGGAATGCGTTACAGTAAAAGGCGAAAAACAATTTTCTCCAGTTAATCAAATAAAAACGGGCGTACTTACAGGAGGCCAAGATCATGAGCAATTCATTAAGGGTCCTGGCTCTGCAATTTTTTAAAACATACATGATTAAACTCAATAAAGATGCCTAGCACAATCAACACAAATTTACGGAGAGGAGTGTGTGTGTGTGTGTGTTTGTGCACGGAGGGGTGTGCTCCTCAGGGAGAAAACACACACTGTTCCAGCTCAGCCCTCCATTTTCTGCGATGGCAGGGGCCGACTGGGTTCTGCGTCCTAATATGGCACAGCGGAGAGCAAGTCATCTTGGGAGATTTTCTCCCTTGAGAGCGCTAGCCCTTGACTTTGATTTCAAGAACAGAGCAGTTTTCCCACAGGAAAGAAAAAAAAGAATAATTTGGCATCATAAAGAGAACAAAAACAAACAAAAGCTCTCTGGCATCAAAATGTCCCAAAAGTTGAAATGTTTCCTCCAGCTTTTCCCCATGACAGAAGTACCATCATCTACGAAGCAAAACATGCAATGTTGACACCCGTTTAGGCAACGTCAGAACCTCAAAATCCATTCTCATTTCAAAACATACAATTCCATTTGTAGTACATAAAACCTACATACAGTCCAACTTACAATATCCTTCAGACAGCAGAAATAACCTCAGAAGACAATATTTACAGCATCTGAAAATACAGATGCGCATGCTTCAAGATCCGGATTTTCACAGCAATTTAAATAGAAAACCCAACTACAATTGAATTTTTATTGAAAGAATAACTGGTGACCAATGAGAAAAGACATCAGAATCTGTCTGAATGAGAGCAACACATGGATGGTTTCTCAAAGTTCAACCGAACCGAATGGCTAGTACACAAGCAAGGCAGTTTCTTAAAGGGTTAGTTCACCCCAAATAAAAATTCTGTCATTAATTACTCACCCTCGTGTTGTTTGAAACCCGTAAGACCTTCGTTCATCTTCGGAACACAATTTAAGATATTTTTGATGAAATATGAGGGCTCTCTGACCCTCCCATAGACAGCAAGGTAACTACCACATTCAAGGTCCAGAAAAGTACCAAGACGATCAACAAAGTAGTCCGTGTGACATCAGTGGTTCAACTGTAAAGTTACGAAGCTATGAGAACCCTTTTTTGCGCAAAGAAAATGATGTCATGATACTGCCGTGAACACGCGTCCACAAGTGACGCAGTAGAGACGAAAATGTGGAATAAAGTCGTTGATGTCACACTGACTACTTTTGTCGATCATCTTAGTACTTTTCTGGACCTTGAACGTGGTAGTTACCTTGCTGTCTATGGGAGGGTCAGAGAGCCCTCAGATTTCATCAAAAATATCTTAAATTGTGTTCCGAAGATGAACGAAGGTCTTACGGGTTTGGAACAACACAAGGGTGAGTAATTAATGACAGAATTTTCATTTTGGGGTGAACTAACCCTTTAAGCATGACCATCAAATCTTGGCCGTTTCATCTGATTCCTTTAAATGAATACAGGGAAGGTTTCTTAAGACGAGAGGGAGGAAGCAGTCTTGGGTGAGTCCAGGGGCATTAAAAAGTCCAAAAAGCAATCAAGACGAATGTTAAAAACAAGTTCTTCGAATAGACATGCGCCTTTGTTCTGTTTAACGCACATACACATCCATGCACGTGTGCGCACACACACGGTCATGTGTGATCAATAAAGCAACGGCTGGGTAAATGGCTAAACTGAGATACACAAATTCTTTCAGCTCTGGTTCAAAAACAGCACATGGCCAGAGGCCGCAAGATCAAGATCTACATTTGAACAAACAAGCTGGGACACTTGGAAAAAATGAAAGCCCTTTTTCTATTGTGTGTGATATGTTTTCTCTCGCTCTCCATCTCTATCTAGTGAGTGGAAGTATTGCACAATGCCCTGCCATGACATAGCAGTTCAGACTTTATACGTCTCCTATCAAAATCTTGACCAAACACTTAAAGAGACATAGTCATAAGACACTTCTTCATGTCACAGTATTACAATTATGAAAGCAAGTCTTCAGACTTTAACTGAAGTGACGTGGCCTAAAAACTAGATCCATTTCCGACAGTCATACTACTGGTTTTGGTGATAAAATGAGAGCATTTTTCCATGGTGTCATACAAAAAAAAGTATTTGGGAATATGCCACAATACATAATCCTCTCCAATGGAAAACATTCTCTTAAAACAATTTAAGAGAAGGTAAAGGTCATAAATACTATTAGATTAAATACAAAGAGGAATGCAGACTGTTTTATAATAAACATCTTACTACGAACAATCAATCCATTCGATGACAATTAATTAATACATTTTGTGGTTCCTCTATATATATTACAAAAATAAAAATAACAACTCCATTAGAGAACACCAATAAATATTGTTACTTTGGTTAGCTAAGAGGACAATGCTATCTGCATAAAAAAATGTTTTAACAGTACCATCCAAATGAGCGAATTTATGATCATAGTCACAGCATAAAAAAAAGACAAAGGGCATGATTTTCAATGCCCTCAATTTTCTTGGCACCTCCACATATGAATTATGTACATGTGTCTGTGTCATAAAGATAAATAGTACAGCGCAGTTAGATGCAGTTTGTTGTTGATCCGCTTTTTTTGTGTGTGAGGACATGCAGGACTCTTCAGAAACATTTGCCTTAAAACTTTGACCTTTGGCTTTTATTCTGATCTCCATTTTATCCATTAAGTGTTCTAATTTGAATACAACAATCTCTTCTCCCACATCAGCGACCTTTCCCACTACGGCCTTGTTCATCTTAAGGACCCTGTGACGGAATTAAACAACTAACATCTGTTATGGTCATGTGTTTCTGTGTTGTGCTTAACTGCATTATACAATATTTTAAGTGTGATTGTACGTTTAGACAATGCATTTGGACAGATGTTCCCCATTCCCCTTAACCATTCATTCCTATCACTAAAACACATTGTAACCAGTGGAAGTGAACCAAGCATGGCAAGAGAGTTGCACACGACTGACACTTCAGGGCAGAGGGCAAGTCCGAGAGTCATTTTGTCCAGCAGACATTACAATCAAATTTAAATCCAAGTTGAATCAAATAAAATACTCAAAGTCGTCGAATAGATTTTTTTCAAAATTACTTGCAGGATGTTTAGCCTATAGAATTAGAGTTGATGCTAGGGGTGAAGGGATCTTGTGGGTTCCAGCTAGGAAGTTCATCTCCGGTGTGATCATGGTTTAGAAATGAGTCAGTCAAAATAGGTTGTCTGTTTGCTGTTGTATTACTGCGTTTTTTAAGGATGATGTCCTCCGACTGGAGGCGTGGTTATGTAATCCCTGCATGGCTTTAAATTAGCAGAAAATGGGAAGTCCATGTAATCGTGGCACTGCTTGGGGGCTGGGGTCGACTTCTGTTCTTTGGGAAAACGGCTTTTTAAAAATTCCAATTGTGATTGCTGAAGGTCAAGACTTGTCACTGATTCAAAGACCCAAAAAAAACACTGTGGATCTAGCAAACACATTCTTCCACTGAGAGCAGGGTAGCGATCAATTTATCCTCAGAAATTCAGAGGCAAGAATCAGATATTACTAGTAAAAACATAAATAATATCATGAGTCCGAAACCAGGTCAGCCGTTGGAAATGCTTATAATCTTTGCAAAGTCTTTGTCCAGAAGATAATTTTAACATCTAGTCAATAATATTTAAGGTTTTAGATCAGTCTAGCAGGGATCCTTCTTTTTTCCCGACATATAAACACATGTGAGCCAGTTAACAGGAGAAACAGAGACTGTTTGTTCTCACTGTTCTGACCACATGATCAGAACTAAAAGTCACAAAAGAGCAGTAAATTTGCCACAAAGTCTATAAGATCAGCTAGCTAAAGTTGCTAAACAACATGAGTTTGTCTTCAAGAAGACATTTGCTGAGCAGACAGCTCAATTCAATATTTGATGCAATCTAAAAACTTTGCAATCATTTCTCACAGAATGAGATTTTTCTCCTTTCCTCATTGCTTAATTTATCATTGCAGCAAAAACTGGTGAGAATCGTATATCTGCAAACATTGATGAGAATAGCCCACTCTCACATAGCTGTCCACCTCATCTTTAATGACCAAGGTCAAAGGTCCATTTCTTGCTGCCAGGAAATCCTGCAACAAAACATATGGGAAAACAAACCTTTGTCAACTTGCCCCGTTCAAAACACCTGGCTTGAACTGGGACAGTGCACAGATGCCGAAACCACTTTTAACTTGACAAGACCCTTGCCATCAACATCAAGCTCACTATCTTGCCAAAAGTTGGTGTTACACATGGCAAGCAGGGCGCGGAGGTTCTGGTGGATCTCCTAGGGGCTTCTTGGTGTCGTTACGTTGCAGACAAAGCAGGCAGAGGCGCTTGAGGCCTTTGCGGAAGGCGCTGTTCGAGAGGCTGTAGATGAGACAGTTGCAAAAACTATTGCTAATTGCCAGCCATGTGGTCAGGAATGAGGCAATGGCATGGTGGTATATCCCTGCGCTCTCTAGTAAAAAGTAAATGATGTAGGGTAGCCAAAGCAGGTAGAACACACTGGTGATACGGAAGAGCACGGTGGCATAGCGTTTGTCCGTGCAGGCTTGCTCACCCGGCTCAGGATCCTGTGGGCCAAAGCGAGCTCTCCGCTCGCTGATCTGCCTAGTGTGTTGTCGACAGATCCAAAAGATATGGGCATAGGTGAAGCAAACGGTGAAAGCAGCTGGTGCGTAGAGGGCCGCGACAATAAATGCTGTAAAAAGGGGCTGGGTGTCCCAGGAAGAGCAACATTTAAATACATCACCGTGGTATCCCGGCTTACCCCAACCAAAAAAAGAGGGCAAAAAGATGAGTGCCGAGTACAGCCAAATAAGGGTAATGCAAGTGCGAAGACGGCAGGGTGTGACCAGAGCTGTGTAGGAAAGAGGTTGGGTGATTGCAATATAACGGTCAATACTAACGCATGCCAGAGAGGCCATGGAGACGCTCTTCAACACGCAGACCATGTAGCTAAAGATCATGCAGGTGAGTTTCTCATTCAAACCCTCCAGATGGTGCAGGAGGGACAAAGAGGGGATAAGACAGCTGACCCCAACCAGGAGGTCCGCATATGCCATAGTCTGTATAAAGGAGCTAGTGGTATGGTGGCTGAGTAGTGGGGCACAGTGAAACACAAAGATAACCACCAGGTTCCCGGAGATGATGAGCACTGTCAAGAAGAGAATAACAGCTACTTCCAGCAGGCAGGTGCTGAAGTTCAGAGAGTAGCCAATATCCAGCAGGCAGAAGGGTTCTGTGCTATGGTTCAACTCCGTTGCGTTCATCTTGTTCAGGGTGCGCTTGGGCGCACAATTGGGGTGCTAGTTCCTTGGGGGCCTAGCTCAGCAAAGGCTGCCCACAGTACGGCTGCCCCTGATAGACATGGGGGAGGTGTCCGTGCCAGGTGCTTTCCATATCAGCAGCAACATGAGCCACTAGTCCTCAGTGTCCACAGCAATCCTTTCACCAAAGCACACACATGCAGCGACAGTATCCTGAGGAGAGTCACTTACTACAAGCTGTTGTGGAGGGCAGGTGGTGAGTCTAGCTTAAATTCCGGATCAAACCCCAGCAGTAGAGAACATAAACACCCCCCTCTTTTATCAGTCCACTACCTTTCCGGGGAGAAGCACAGCTGCGCCTGAGCAGGGCAGGCAGCTGTCGGCACAGGACACGCACAAGGAAAAAAGCAGAGGAAGCAGAGTCCTTGCCCCTCTGATCACAAAAGTCCCAGTCACTCTCAAACAGTTATTAGTCCGGAGGATCAAGCACAACTAAGCAGCACTGGAGATTTCTCACAATAACGTAGTCAAATTGTTTATTCCTACAAATCCCCAAAAATTATGTAATCCAGAGTCTGATGTCTTTGCAGCAACTTCAGTCGTCAGTGGAAAGAAGACTGGGGAATCTCTTCAGCACGTGCCAGGCACCCAGCTCCCTCACATCAACGTGGAGGAAGTGTGTGTGTGATCGAGGATAAAAGAACAGCAAGTGGTGATTGGCATTTCAATCGGAGAAGGGGCTCTCCAGAGATAAGCCAGCGTCTGGAATGTAAATGAAGGATAGAGTGGTGTGATGCAGAAAGCAGTCTCTCTCTCTCCTCTGTGGCACTGATGCATCCTCACTCCTTCCTTCCCTCTCTCCCTCCCTTTCTCCGCTGCAGCAGGAGCACTCAAACTCCTCCCACCCTTGGCTCTAGCCAGTGAGCAGATGTCGGAGCACGAGCAGAGAGAGGCATCCCCTTCCCTTGTCAATCCATACACTCCTCCACCCCGCTCATACCCACCTTTCAGTCACTCACAAATATGAAAAATGCACTGCCTTCAGATTTTTACAGACTCCCTCAACACTGTCTTTCTAATGTAAAACTCATATAACATGCTTTATCCTTCCTTTTCCTTCTATTCCCATTGCAACATCCCTCCCACGCACTCTCTCTTTCTCCCTCCTATACGGACACATGCAAAAAAACAGCAGGAGGTCAGAATGTACTGTAGCCATTTCCAAAGTCCCAGAAATAAACCAAGGACATTAATTTCTTATTTGACAAAGTAAAACTTTTCATGACATCATAATTCAAATTCTACCCCTGCTTTATGCAGTATTGTGGCTATTATGTTAAGTAACACTCCAGCAATTTTTACCGACCAATCAAGAAGCACTAAATCAGATCCATCCTGCACACTCTTTTTCTTGTGTATTTGTTTTATATATCACTATGTTACAGGGCCAGAGTGGGACTCATTTTCAGCCCTGGAGTTTCATGCCTTAGACCGGCCCACTTTTTTCTCTTTTTTTTTTTTTAAATCTATTATTCGCTCGCATATCTCCTACAACTGAGGTTTTTTGTTTGTTTGTTTTTTTTGAGCAAGGTGCCACTGTCAGGGGAGACAAAAGATAATTACATCATCATTACGGTTGCCAATTAACTTCAGAAATGGAAAATAAGGGCTAATTGTGATTCTTTATCTTTTATTCTTTAAGAAAAGTGTTTATTCTTTAAGAAAATAAGGGACAGAATAATGAACGATCCAAATATTTGTACTGTACAATAATGTAGGCCTATATCTGCCTGCAGTTAAAAAGTTATCAGAAATAATCACTTTTGTTTTGCTTAACCCATTTATGTACAATTATTCTAAAAAAAAATGTAATGTCATACAAAAAATGCCATCGGCCTGAGTAAATTTTACCATTATAGAATTGTGACTTTACAAGGGTAGTAATTTAAGAGGTGAAAATACTGTGAAATTACAAATTGCATGGAATTTGAAAGCATAACAACTGAAGGTCTATGAAACGTCAGTCAATAAAGCATTTTTTTTAAACAATGGGCAGGCAGCATATTTCAACCCAGTAGCATGACAACACACCGGCCCTCGCGGCCAAAAAACCGACCGGCCCACCGGGAATCCTCCCGGTGCTCCCGATTAGCCAATCCAGGCCTGCTATGTTATCAGATGAATCAGTTTCAAAGATGGTGACATCAGAGATTGGCATGTAGTTAGAATTCATGCATGTGGGCAACTGAATTACTAAGGTTATTGTGGTATGATTTGTTCCAGTCTGGTTTTATTAAACATTGACCATACAGATTTACTGAACTCTTGGGACTTTCCCTAACACAAATGCACCTGTTTCCATTTATATCACCTTTATTAGTCCCTGTTCCCTGTCACCACGGTAATACTAAAACCATAGCACCCCTTCAGTCTCCTTTCCTTCGGTCACTGCCAGAATCTGCAAACTCACACACACAGTCCCCACTTTCACGCATCCCCTCGGCCAGGCACACGAGGGGCTAAAAATATGCCAAACTTGAAAGGTGGGGAGTGGACACTGGGCTCATCCATTAGGAGGATGACAATGAGGAGGAAAGCAAGAAATAAAGACGAATGGAAGAGCTAAATGCATAAGATCGAATGAGGTGACAAAGACACAGAAAGACAAACCTCAGAGTAGATGGCATATTTAATTTGACAAATATGAGGCTGTGAAAGATGGAAATAGTTTCTTTAATGACACCATTGTGTATTTGCGTGTCAATCATTCTAGCGAACCACTGAAACACAATTATCCGCAGACCGTTAACTCCAAAACACAGGTCTGTGATGTAATTTATATATGACCCAGGACCACATAATCCACAATTTGAATGGTGCACGAAATTCCAAATTAAATTAATAAATAAATACAAATAAATAGTTTTTTTTTTCTCACAATCTTCCACCTGCTCTGCCTCTACAGCAACTCTCATCAATGGCTGATGTTGCCCTTTTATTTTTCAACCAATTATCACAACAGATAAAAACACATCCTACATTTCTTTCTAGCTCAATATGCTTCTTCACTTACACGATCAATCACAATACATCACTGCAGAGGTAAAATGCATTGCGAATACCATATTGTCCCGAATATAAGACGATGTTTTTTTCGTATAGACAAGAATTAACTGAACTTCTATCTCTCACAGCCTACATGTCAAATGAAACCATCTATTCTGATTAAAGTCTTTAAGAGATAAGAGAAAGGCTGTCCCAATAGTGATGAGAAGGTGTCAGCCAAGTCCAGCCTGACTCAGCTGCTCTGTGAAATAACACAGCAAACACAAACAGCACATATTCATCACTTCATAGAGTGAGACAGCAGCTTTACATCAGTAGTCAGCCAAACTCTCAGCCCCACAAACCTGGACAACAGATATCCAGCCCCACAAACCTGGATATCTCTGCGGAGAGACCAACCAGAATCCTGCTGTATAGACCACCCACAGCCTTGCTCCATAAACCCTGCACAATCCCCTGGGTCTAGACCATTCAGCGTGACATTAACCCCACAGAGCAGCGAAGCTATTTTTGTACAGACAAGTATGCTACTATTTGCTATATTAAAAGGTCTTCTATTGAACACAACGAAGTCCAAGACTATCTGTTCCCTATTTTGTTAAGTCACGCCTGGCACTGAGACGGATATTTATTGTGGTGTGTTTAGAATGCCGGGACTTGAAGTGAGAAGAGGTGCAGGCTGCTGCAGACTAACAGGCCAGGCTTTGTGTTAGCCGTTTGTTTTTATTGACCGCATGGGGTGGTGTATGAGGAGTGTCTAGAGAAATCTGTCTGACCTCTGCGTCTGTGTTTATGGACACTGGAACATCTGGTAATAGTATGAGCCAAAGAAATGCAGCCTGACAAACATGCTCGGGTGTGCAGATGGGTGCAGAGTGAAACAAGGATCCAAAATCTGATGCTTGTTACCATGTTGATTGCAGACGATCTAATAAAACATACTTATTCTATTAACAAAAACAAAACTAGAGCCAGAGGGATGGGGACTGACTGCAAGTGTAGAGTCCATGCCAAATTGCGGGGCATTAATGACTTGATTGCATTTGCAAAGTCACCACTGAAAAACCTAGTAGTTGTTTAAAGGGGTCCTATTATGCTCTTTTACAAAGTCTTGATTTTGTTTTGGGGGTGTACTAGAGCAGGCTCTCATACCAGGTTGTTCGAAAAACACATTATTTTTCACATATTTTACATTATTACCAAACCTCTCTCCTCAGTCTGGCATGAATGGCTCGAATAGTTCCTGTATCAAATGAAGGCCCGCCTTCTGAAATACAAAATGTGCTGCGATTGGTTAGCTGGGTCAGTGTGTGTTGTGACTGGCAGCACTCGGCGCCTGGTCGGGGAAATGTCATGCCCCTTACCATAGCCGCCTGCGAGCTTCAGTGTGTTCTAGTGTCTCATAGACCAAGACATTTCAATAGGCTATTGAACTAAGTGTGTCTGTAAAAGGCTATTAGTGTTATAGTTTCATGAAAATAGTTGCAGTCGACCCCTAATTGCGTCAATATCAAATCAACTTGAGCGCGATTTAAACCCGGATGATTGTAACCACTCTAAGGCCCAATCCCAATTCTATTTTATACCCCTTCCCCTACCCCTCCGCCTACCCCTTCCCCTTGTCCCTTGAAACAGAGTGTCAAGGGGTAGGGGTGAAAACTCTCTCTCGAATTGGCGATATTTGAGAAAAGGGTTTAGCGATTTCTAATTATTGGGGGGACTAGCCCCCCTCAATGTCTACGGTGGTTATCGCCCTGATCAGACATGAAAATATGTTGTGGCGTTAGCAAACTATAGCAATTTTTTGCAAACATTTCTTTGAGTAACATGACCATAAATATGAACTCACGATTGAACGTAACGTAAAACAAATGATTACTTTTCGTTAAAATCTTTATTAATGCCAAAAATGCTTACATTTATGTGTCTTTTTGTTCGCTCAGGCAGCCATGTTGCCCCTGAAGCCGGTTTACGCTGAGATAATTCATACCCCTTCGTTTGAAGTGTGGTCCCGAAAAATCTTCGTTTGAAGGGCTGTCTGGCCCTTCCCCTACCCCTACCCCTCCAACCAAAAGAGAATTCAGACACCCCTACGCCTTCACGTGAAGGGGAAGGGCTAAGGGGTAGAATTGGGATTGGGCCTTAGTTCTTCTGCCTTGGGAAAGCTAGCGTGTCTCCGACATAGTGATAACACTTGTTGCCTTCTCTAGTGCAGCTCAACCAGGTCTCGTCCCATTCATCGATATTTGTGATATCACAAATCCCGGAAAATATGCGTTGTAGTCCAAACGAGTCGTTCGTTGTAGTTTTTGAAAAGTGATTTCTGTTAAATAAAATATCTCCTTTTGAAGTGGACTTTGAGCTTTGTAACTTTGCAGACCTTTTTTATGCTCAAACAGCAACATTACAGACTAACTAAAGTTGAAAAAGTGAAAAAGCATAATAGG